CTTACTAGGCAATCTCTCATTATGCCAGATCCCTATTAACTATTATTATAGTTAATAATTCTTTATATTAAATTTTCTCTGTTCAAATTACCACATGGTTTCTCTCTTTCTTGATTGGACCCAGGCTGATACAAATTCCTAGAAGCAAAATAAAAACAAAACACCTTTTTAACTTGAAGATACCTTACTGGGCACTTGATAAAAGCAGCAGTTTCCATGACAAAGAGTGTTTACTGATACAGAAATAAAATATAGGGGCACCTGAGTGGCACAGTCGGTCAAACATCTGACTGTAGATTTTGGTTCAGGTCGTGATCTCATGGGTTGTGAAATTGAGCCCCATGTCAGGGTCTGTGCTCAGTGGGGAGGCTGCTTGAGATTCTCTCTTTCCCTCTCCCTCTGCCCTTCTACCCCCTCTCAAATAAGTAAATAAATCCTTAAAAAAAGAAAAAATAAAATACAGTATATGAAGAAATGGAAATGATTTACCCATTTGGGATTTAGATGACTGAGCAAAGTAAGAGCATGGAGATTTTTTCTGATGCTTTTCTACAGATATAAACAGTTCAAATAATCATAACCATATTTGTTTACTTTTGGATAAGCAAGATGTATACCTTTTATTATGTTAGGAGGGTCTCTTCAGTGCCCTTAAATTTGGCTTAATTGAAAGTTAAATTCAGGAGAATCAGACAAACAAATGACTTATAAGCATTCCTTTCTTTGGTAAAACCTACTGTCATCTTTGAAAAACTACATTTTCAAAACCTTATGTCATCTTTAAGGAAACATTTCTTAATTGTTTAACTAGAAAACTAGAATTGAAGGAGACTAGTTCTATAAAAGAGAGAAGAACAGTGCAGTAGTTAAGATCATGGGCAAGTTATAGCCCATCTCGGTTGTGCAGAAGAGTGGTATGCAAGAGGGTATAAAACCATGCGAAATATGACTTGTTGAAAAATACAGAACATGTACAATAAAGATCACCTCTCACTGTTAGGTGAAGGGGTGTTAGGGAACAAGATATCCACACAGTACCAAACTATCAGCCACCCAGATTATTTACTAATTTCAGAAGGGAAAATGGACATTTTCAATCGAAAGATGGGGCAGCCAGCACCTAAAGTCTTCAAACGTGGCCACGGTAACAGGACAATCTAATGTGCTGCACTATGAACCACAGATTATCACCTTAAAGTATTCCTATCAAAAATGTCTAACTTGCCCATTACAAGAAAGATAGAGGATAGAAGAAAGAGTTAAACAGCATCCTGAGGAAATAATAAGACAAAGCCTGATTGTGAGCCATTCTACAGGTGGGGCGACTGGTCTACATTAAAAGGGAGTAGAGAGCAATGACATCAGCAAAATGATGGAGCTGGCAGCTCCAAGTGCTAGGTACCTCTCTAGAAACAAACAAACAAACAAAACCAGCAGAAACTGTGAGCACCAGGGAATCTACTAGGGTGGCTATAATTAAAAACAAACAACAATGGAAAATAAGTGTTGGTGAAGATGTGGAGAAATTGGAATACATTGCTGGTAAAAATGTAAAATGGGGCAACTGCTGTGGAAAAGTTTGCCAATGTCTCAAAAAGCTAAGGATAGAAATACCATATGACCAAGTAATTCCATATCTAGGTAGAAACTCAAAAGAATTAAAAACAGAGTGTGATGGTGAATTTTCTGTGTCAACTTGACAGGGCCACAGGGTGCCCAGATGTTTGCTTAAACATTATTTCTGGGGGTATTTGCCAGGGTGTGTCTGGATGAGATTAGCATTTGCATTGGTAGACTGAATAAAGCACATGGGCCTCCCTAGTGTGGCTGGGCATCAACCAATCTGTTGAGGGCCTAGGTGGAACAAAAAGGGAAAGCAATGGAGAATTGGATCTCTGCTCCATTCCTTGAGACATCAGTCTTCTGCCCTCTGACTTGGATTTACACCATGGCTTCTCCTAGTTCTCAGGCCTTTGGACTCAGACTGGAACTATATCAGTGGCTTCCCCAGGTCTCCAGCTTGCAGACCATGGAACTTATTAGCTTCCGTAATTGAGTGGGCCACTTCCTTATAATTCTCTTTCTTCTCTCTGTGTGCACACATACACACACATACACACATACTGACTAAACATAGGGATTCAAACAGATACCTGTAACCAATGTTCATTATTCACAATAGCCAAAACTTGGAAACAACCCAAGTGTCCATCAACAGAAGGATGGGTAAACAAACTGTGGCATGTACATACAATGGAATGTTATTTGGCCATAAAAGGGAATGAAGGACCGATGCATACTACAACATGGGTGAATCTTGAAAACATTATGCTAAGTGAAAGAAGCCAGACACAAAAGGACAAATATTGTGTTGAGATAGGGAAGCTAAAGGGATCTCATAAAGGACTGCTTTTTTTTGCTGCCTCTACTCTTGCTAAGACCTGCACCCCCGCCTTACACATGCCCTAATGTATGTCCTCCTTGTAAAGGTCAAGGAGTTAATGATTTCTTTGGAGTCTTCTAGCACAATAGAAACATCTAAGGAGTGACCCAGCAAGGTTGAAGTTGTTATGTATGTTTTCCAAGACCACTGACTCCAGGCACCTTAATGCCAAGACCCCTGGCTCTAGGGCATAAGTGACTTATGGAAGACACCTGAGCACTTGTCCTTGTTTTGACCAGTCCCTGGATGCCTTGAGAAGACACATACACCAGACCAGAAGTGAAGATGAGACTCTCCTTTCCTTTACTATTCAATAAACTCTGCTCTCACTTCCTCTTGGCTCACATTTGATTTCTATCCTTTGCAAAGCCAAGGACCCTCTTGGCTGGTTCTGTGGGACCCCATGTGGGTCCTTGGACCTGGCCAGCCTATATCAGTATGAATCCATTTATATGAAGTATCTAGAACAGGCAAATTCATAGAGACAGAAATGAGATTAGAGGTTACCAGGGGGTTGCAGGGAGGGACAAATCGGGAGTTATTGCTTAATGAGTACAGAGTTTCTATTTGGGGTGATAAAAAAGTTTTGGAAATAGATATTGGTGATAGTTGTACAACATTGTGCCACCGAATTGTACACTTGAAGATGGTTAAAATGGGAAATTTTATTATATTTCCACAATTAAAAATAAAAGATGTAGAGATTTGCTAAGAATTTACCAATAAATATGCTATGGTGTTATTCTGGGTGGGGAAGAGAGAGAGAGATGATATTTAACAACCAAATGTAATGTGTACTCCTTGGTTGACTCTAGCTTTCTAAATAAAAATCACTCGAAGATATTCTTAGGGTAAGTGAGGACTATTAAAATACAGGCAGAACATTAGATGTTATCATGAAATTGCTAATTTTCTTAGGTACAATAATAGTGCCATGGTTATATAAGAGAACTTCCTATTCCTAGGAGATATATGCTTTAGTGTTAAGGGCAAAGTGTTATAACATCTGTAACTTGCAAAGAGTGATGCAAAAAAAGGTGTGTGGTAGGGGGCAGAGTATGCGTGTGCCTGCCCACATGTGTGTATAGAGAGAGCAAGAGAGAGAAAGCATATGTGGCAAAATTTTAACAATCATCAAATCTAGGTGGCAGATATATAGGTGTTTATTGTACCCTTCTGTCATTTTTTTATTTAAAAGTTGTCATAATAATACAAGTTAGAAACAAAGTAACATTTTGAAAGTCACACCACTGTTATCTCTCAGAAATACTCTGTTAACATGTTGGTTTAAATCTTTTTGCCTTTCTTTCCCTACACATAGATAAGTATTCCTTAAAAAATACACACACACAAAAGCAAGGGGTCAAATGTACATTGGTACATGTTCATTTATTCAGTCAAGTTAATTAACAAATGTTTATTTAAGTATATCTTCCACAGACCAGGTACATAAAGGAATATTAAAAGATCTCTGAGTTTTCACAGAATGTACCCTGAGAATTCAATGTGCCTCATTCATTACAACTATACTTTGTAAAAATATTATGAGCAGACGGATGAAAAAAACTGTGAACTTTTAGTAATTGCATTATAATCCTCATCATGAAATAGCATTCCGTCAAATTTAATAAAGTTGTTGGCATTTTTAATTTTTGCTGTTCTTTCATTTCACATTTATTTACTGTCTACACTGTTCAGTGTCAGATGCTGCAGCTACGGAGGTATGTAAGACACCAACTCCCTGCCCCTCTGAAGCTCACTCTGACACACGATCTTAAAGGCATTAGCAGGGGGATCAGAAGGGCAGGGATGGGGGGAGGGCGCAGAGAATGGGTTCCTGATTTACCCACTAGTGGATTCCAGAGGAGGTTCTTGGAGAAAATGACGTTTAAATTTAGATTTTTAAGAATAAGCCGGAGTTAGACTCATAAAACACTAGCTCGGGACACCGGCTCTGGGGTTAAATTGTTTGATAGTCCGTGGACAAGCTGCTTAACCTCTCTGTGCCTCAGGGATAATGTTGTAAAGCTCCAATAATAGACAAAGTGCTTAGACCTCTGTACGGCACAAAAGAGCTAAATTTATTGAGTACTTGTGGATTGTTACAATTTAGTAAAAAGTTATAACGTGCCTCATGCGGAGGTCAAAGCCATTGACAAGACAAATCCTGTACCCGGCCTAGGAGTCTCTCTCCCCAACACCCTGCCCTCCGACTTATTTTATACCCAAATAACCTCTCTTGCAAAATATAAAATATGGAAAGTGTTCATTTCCTAAAAGGTTTATGCTTTTTGTTTCTCCATAGTTTTGCCACCTACACCTGACCTGAGGCACTTCTCTGAGAGCTCCGAGTGAACTCGGGGTGTTACAATTCCGAGGTACCAAGGCCCCCAGTACCCAAATGTCAGGGCGGAGAGCCTCAGGCCGGGCTACCGGGCGCGGTCGCCCCTGCAGCCTCACCCCCGCTGAGCGCACCCGCCAGCACGCCCAACTTTGATTGGTCCGTTCTCCCAGCTCGCGGGTATCACTGTGTCCAATCGGCGCAACGCTTGTTGAGCGGCGGCGGCAACGGGCGTACAGCTGGGTTGGGCGTCCTGGGGAGAGAGCGAGAGGTCAGGCCATGAACCTGGGGTAAGCTGGCCCGAGAACGGTGGTCTTTAGCGAAGACGGGATAAAGCTGGGTTGGCCCTTGGAGCCCTTCGTGGAACACCTTCCCAGCTTGCGCCCGGCTCCCTGAGGCGGAGGGGGGCGAGGGGCCCGGGACGGCCTTTGCTGCAGCCGCCGTCGCTTTTTCACATTCTAACTCGGGGTAAATCTGCTCGGGACCTCCTTTCCGCCCTCTCATTGACCTCAGGGTGGAGAGGGAGAAGAGGCGATAAGCGGGGAGGGCAGATGGAGAGATAAAGCTTAGCGGCTTCCCGGGAGAAATCCTGGCCCAGGCCCCCGTCCTTAGCGCCTCTGGCTTTGGCGTCTTTGTAGGCTGTGAGCGCCCAGATGAGTTTAACGCTCATGCTAGGAACCGGGTGTTAAGGAATCGATGCACTGCTAGTGCTTGGCCCCTAATAGACCCTCATTAAGTAGTGGTTGAATAAAAATGACTGTTGCAGGGTTTTCATCACTGGGAAGTTTAATATTTTAAGAAAAGTCACCAAATTCAGAGTGTTGCACATCATTTAGCAAATTAATTTTGTGTCCTAGAATGTGGAGGGAGAAAAATAAGACATCTGCCCCTGAAGAAGTTTACGGTGCAATAATGCTGAACAGACGTACTTTTCGGGTTCATTCTTTTGTTTGTTCAGTTTCACCGACGTAAACGTGAACTGTTCTAATCCTGCCCCAGGGAAACCTTTAAAACCCATTTTTTCCAGTGCTTTACCTTGATAAATTAAGGTGGGGTATTTTGATGGCCTCTACTGAGCAACACTGCAAATTTCGTTGTTCCCTATCCGACCTTTCCCAACCTGTCTTTCTCTTCCTTGTCTGGCCCGCTGGCTTTTGTCTCTTGGACATCACTTACGGCCCTATTGATGTTTAATGACACACACCTTTCCCCCCCTCTCTTAGGAAACAGTGATTAAATGTGGACTATTTTTGTTTTCAGTGGAGTTTTTATTAGGATCTTATGTTCAAGTTTCCTTGGCAGTGTCTGCTGTTACTTTGTGCTCCTGCATTGGACACGCACAGATAAATTAGAGCAGCCAAAGTTTATTACAGATTTATTGTTGTGATAGTAACAAACTGTCGCTGTGCTCAAAAAGTTAACAGTCCTGGTGGCAATATTATAGTTCACTTTCAAATTAACGCTGTAGCATGCATAGAATGTGTTAGTCACGAGATAATTATGAGAGACTAATAAATAGTTAAGTATGTTTTGCTCCTTTAACTTAGGTGGGGAGTTTTGGTAACAGCATTTTTTTTTCCAGTCTAGAGTTGTAAGGGTTAAATAATGCTGTGATGATTGGATTTATTGCTTACCAGTAAGAAAATGAAGTTCATGATAAAGATAACAAATTCTTTGCATTATTGGAAAGTTTCAGGAATTTTCTCCTTCTAGTGTTTAGTTTTATCTGATTGGAAAACGTTTTTTATTAAAAGAATGGCTTACTATTTACAAGATTCCTGTATAAATTCAAAAGGACATATTTACTTTCAAGATTCAAATAAGCATTTCATTTCTATTTAAAATGTTGCTGCTTCTTAAAAATGACAACTTTCTTTTATTTTGCAGAGATGGTTTAAAGCTTGAAACTGAATTGTTGGATGGAAAAACCAAGTTAATATTGTCTCCATATGGTATGCTGTGTTACCAGAAATCTAAAATGTTAACTTTTAAATTCCTATGTAAAATTTATACGAGTTTAATATACTTTTTGCTTGTAATAGAGTAATATTTAAATGATATTTTACAAAAAGCTGTTTTTTGGCTAACTTTCTCAGATTTATTTTTAGCCAAGTAAAGTCAGATTACATCACTGCTTACCACTGTCAGTATTTATTCATAAAATTTAATGGTTCAGTATATTTCATGTTTAATATGTTGCCTAATGAATAATTTAGGTGAAATCTATGTGATTATATTCTGTGCATGTAAAGTGTGTTGTTCTAGAAAATTAAATTTGTAATAAGCCCACAGTTGCTAAAGTCATTTTTAGTATTAGTTTTAAACTCCGTATATTTGGTAGTCCTCTTTTTCACATTATTTTCTTTTTCTCTGATCTGTTTATAGTTTTATCTTGGAAAATAAACAGAAATGAAATAGAAATACTTGCACTACACTGTAAAAGTTAGAACACCCAAACAGGGCCTAAAGTTAATGCATTGGGGGTTAATATTTCTACTAAGTATCTTCTTAAAACAATGCTAATTAAAATTTTCCTTTGTGACTGCCTTAGTATGTTTTTGTTTGATAGTTCAGTAATTATTGTTTTCTTTTGTAGAATGTAAATCAAAAAATTCTGTGAAGGTAAGCCAAATGACCTGACCTGTTTTTTGAATGTAAAATGTGGTTTTCTTTACAGTGGTTTGAAAATAATTCCTGTCAATATATTATAAGGGGTATGGGATAATGATGAGAAGTTATTGTTCTCTTGCTTTCAGGTTGGTCCTTTCACAGAAATAGGATCATAATTTTTCAGTTTAAAAAGTTCTCTAGATCAGTGCTGTCCAATAAATCTATTTGTGATGAGGGAAATGTTCTAAGATCAGTGTTATCCAAGATGGTAGCCAGTCACTAGTCATGTGTAGTTATTGAGCACTTAAAATGTGGCTAGTGTGACGAAGGAAGTGAATTTTTAATTTTATTTAATTTTTAATGTAAATTTAGTAGTTACTATGCTGGGCAGTGCAGTTCCTGAGATCTTTAAAAATACATATTCACACTTTAAAATGAAAATATTTTTCTTTTCATACTCAAATTCCATTTTCCCACACCAAAACGGTGTATTTGATTCACCAAATTGTATATGCATTTTGCTTTCTCCTTTAAGAGATCATACTTGAGCTTAATGATAATTTTCCTTTTAAATTATTATCAGGAACCCAAAATGCCTTTACCACTTTAACAACTTTCTGATATCCCACTTTTCTTGTTCCTTATTTCTTTTTCCATTTTTAGATAACTGTCAGCAGAAATTTCAACTCTCCCACAATGTACTGTAGCCCTCTCTTATCTTTGTAGCATCTTAAAGTCTTTGTGTATCTTGAATAGAGCTCAGTTTGGATGATGTGGCACCTTTCACCTCTGAGCTCTTGATGACTTTGCTATTTTTTCCAGGTTTAATCAAGGTGAAGTTGCTTGAGTATCCAGCATAAATGGGTGATGATAATCAGAGTAATTCCACATGCTACCTATAAAAGTTATTTCTTTCTAAATAGGGTATATAGCTATATACCTTGTGTGTTTTTTTTAGTCACAGTACAAATTGTATATTTTTTCCTGGTCCTGCACTATTTTTTTTTTTAAGATTTTTAAATTTATTTTAGGAGGCGGTGAGGAGGGAGAGGGGACTGTTAGCAGTCTCCACACTGAGTGCGGACCCCCACATGAGGCTCTAGGTTCGATCTCACGACCCTAAGATCATGATCTGATCTGAAACCACAGGCCTAACTGACTGTGCCACCCAGGCACCCCAGGTCCTGCTCTATTAAAATATTGCAACTAATTATTATATTTGAGTCACATTAACAAATAATGCACCCCTTTTTGAGATCTTAGATAAAAAGCTGCTTGTCATAGTTGATTTCCATATTCCCCTGGTCTCTGTTCTCTTTCACCTTTTTCCCCTTCTATTGATGTCTTTAATGGATTTGCTTTAGTCACCACATTTGTGAAGACATTTCATTGTCTTTTTAACCAATTTAATATGGTGGTCTCCTTTCATGCCTATAACAAAATTACTAGTTTTGGACTTTTGATAGAATCATTACAAGATTCTACTAGCAGTCTAGAAATATTTTATTCTAGGATTCTTTTTTCCGGAATAATGTGTCTCAGCCGATGTTGATCTTAAATTATTTACTGTCTTAGGGCAAATTGTTTGGTTTTATTCCTCTTGCTTTGGGGACTTCAGAATACTGATGATGGTAATTATGTGAGGTGATGGATATGTTAATTCACTTGATTGTGGTGACTATTTCACAGTGTATGCATATATCAAGTTGTACACCTTAAATATATACAATTTTTAATTGTCAGTTATACCTTAATAAAGCTGGAAAAAAATACTGGTGCAACTTAAGTCTCCCTTCTATATTGATTTTATTTTAAGCAGCTTCTCTTCCCATATTTATAGGGGTTGCTGAGATCCTCCTCATTTCTTTCTTTGCTCTTTACAGAAGACAAAAAAGCAAAAACAGTAGTGCTTGTCTTTTTTTGCTTAAATCTGCTTTTTAATCTCCCAAATGTCAGTTCTGCAGCTATATGTTGGATTCTCATTTCCATAAGTTATTGGTGAATTCTTTTTTCATACTTCTTTTCTTTTTCTACTGGGAGAAGTTCCTGAGTGACTACAACACCTACCTACGGTTCTGGTTTTCCCCTTCCTCACAGGTTGAATTACTGTCATCCTCATAGTGTTCTCTTTAGACACAACTGAACTCTCATCATCATCAGGTTTAACACATGTGTGGGCAGAGTACTTAATTTTTTCTAAATCCCTTCTGCGTTTTTTTAAATCTGTGGTAAGGAATATGAAGTAAAGATGGTTACCTATACGGAGGAGAAATGAGAGAAATATTAATGATTCATTGTCATGAATAATTTATAATTCCAAACTCTTATGCTTAAAATTATCTCACAGGTTAGTTGAAATATAGAACATTAAAAAATTTTTTTTCACAGGAATTTCTACATGTGAGAATCAGAGTAGTGACACACTAAAGGGTGTATACTATATTAGTGTTAGGTAGCATATTTTATAATTTAAAATGTTATTTTCTCTGATTCTAGCCTTGGGATCCTGGCCCCATATAAATGATAAACTCAGCCAGTATTATTTTTTTTTCTTTTAAAGATTTTATTTATTTGACAGAGACAGCGAGATTAGGAACAGAAGCAGGGGGAGTGGGAGAGGGAGAAGCAAGCCCCCCCTGAGCAGGGAGCCCGATGTGGGACTCGATCCCAGGACCCTGGGATCATGACCTGAGCCGAAGGCAGCCGCTTAACGACTGAGCCACGCAGGTGCCCAAACTCAGCCAATATTAAACAAATGCATTGGACTTTGTTTATATTATGAAAAATATTGGTAGAATTAAAACTAGTTAAAAGAGCAACTTGCTACATAAAAATGTTTATGACATGAAGACTCTTCTTTGATCGATTAAAATTTACCTGATCCAGTAAACACTTGGGGAATTATTTGGGCTAGATTGCTTTTTCTTGTTAAGTAACCTGAATATAATGAATATTTATTTGGTAGGTCATGATTTTTTGCTGGCTCCATTCATTGTTTTTTTCCTGCCATTTAGCTACAAAAAATAGGGGCCGCCTGGGTGGCTTAGTCAATTAAGCATCCCACTCTTGATTTTGGCTCAGGTCATCATCTCAGGGTTGTGAGATCAAGCCTTGCTTTGAGCTCCGAGCTGTGTGTGGAGCTTGCTTGGGATTCTCCGTCTCCTTCTGCCCCCCTGCCCCCAAAAAAGTAATCAGAATTGAGCTGAATGTATATGGACCTCGTGCCAGATCATTGCCTCCTCTCCCCTTTTTATGAAATATTTTTAGAAGATTTTTTTGGTATATTTTTTTCTTTTGTAAGTGGAATGTAGCAGGATAATTCTACTCAAATTAGAGCTCCAATTAGTAGGTTTCTATTTAACAAGGATTTATTAAAGCTGTAAAATTTTAGTGGAGTGCCATTCTCGGCTATATTTCTTCTATGACAGAGGAAAAAAAGTAAAACCTAGGCCTTGTTTTCTGGAAGTGATGATATCACTCAGGTAAATAACTATACAATACAAGTAGACTATAATGTATGCCATGGTAGGATTATAAAAGGCAGAGAACACTGCAAAGAGCAGCTCTTTGTGGCTCGAGGAGAACAGGGAAAGCTTCGTAAAAGGAGGTGACATTTTAATTAGAACTTAAAAGATGAGGCAGTTATTTATAGGTAAGGAGGTATGGGAGTGTATTCTAAGCTCAGAAAATAGTGGGCAAGACACCAAAATAGCATAATTTGCATTTGGGGAATAGTGTGTATCTTGGGAAAGTGTAGAACATAAAGCTTGGGGGGGTTACAGTCTTAAAGAGTTTAAATGTATACTCGCAGAGTTTGAACTTCCTTGATTTGTGTGTAGGGAGCATTAAAAAATTTTGAAAAGCAGAGTCCATACAGTATAATTTGTATTGTAGGAAAGGGCTTTGGACAGCTTGGTGAAGGACAGATTATGATGGGGAGACCAGTTATGGGCCAGTTACAGTTCAGGAAGAGTCTTAGAGTTCCTGAACATGTTTAGTGGTTAGTGAAATGGAAAAAAGGGGACTGAAATGAAAGACTTCCAAGATGTGTAATGGTATGCGCTGCACTTCTTAGCAGTTTGAGCATCTGATTAGAGATGTGAAATGCTCAACTATCAGTGACCCAGAAAAGGCCAGTATGCATCAAAGGTGACATCGTAGTTAGAGACTGAGGTGGTAGGACTCAGCAGTATAAGCTACGTGCAATCTGCTGATAATTTGCCTAATCCATATAGTGGCTTTCATAAACTAGAGTGAACTGTCAGTATCTAAAAATAGGAAAATTTAATGTAGAATCTGGCATTTTTGGTTCTCTTGAAATACTGGGGAATCTAGCAAGTAGACTCAGATTCCTGTTTGGCGGTGTAGGCTGGTTCTTAATGGTGGCTGCCTCTTTTAGATAGAAAAATGCTCTTCAGCTCATTCCAGTTCCTACCAAGCCTAATTTACAGCAGGTATTTGTGGTTGCCACCTCTCCCATAGAGAATTAGTTACATTAAAATAGCCTCAGGGGCGCCTGGGTCGCACAGGCCGATGAGCATCCCGCTCTTGGTTTTGGCTCGGGTCGTGGCCTCAGGGTTGTGAGGTTGAGCCCTACATCAGGCTCTGCACTCATTGCGGAGTCTGCTTGAGACTCTCTTTCTCCCTTCCCCTCAGTCCCTCCCTTCCCCCTCTAAAATAAATAAATCTTTAAAAAACTTTTTAAAAATTGCCACAAGTTGGATGGGTAAAAAGGCATTTTACATTGTGGTATTGGTATTATCAAAAGCCTAAAGCCAGGAACAAATAGGATGTAGATGAGATGATAAACAGATCTTGTGGCTGATAGGACAGGTACATTTTGAAAAGTAGGGTGAAACAGGATTGGTATTGGTCAAAGTGTGGTTATATATTTTGTAAGTTACTGAAAGACAAGGAGAGTTGGGATATAAGCTGGGTGAAAGTCATGTGGTATCTACCTCACTCTTTGACAGCAAGTATCTTATTAATCTTTACCTCTAGCACTTTTCCATATTGGTGAGCACATAAAAAGCAGTTAATTTTGATTGAACAACCACTGAATTATTTTAGTTTAATTGGGTTTGCTGAAATGTACAGTGGATTAAATAGGGGAAAGATATGAGATAGGCAGGCTGTAATCTAGTAGTGTGGTAATGAAAACCTAAATTTAGGCTTATCATCATGTAAATGGTGAGAAAAAGATATTTGGAAGGAAGAAATGACCAATAACTTGTGCATAAGCTAAAGAAGACCGTGAAGGAGGATAAAGTTAAAGATGACTCCATGCTTACTGGTCTGAGAGATTAGAACAACAGTGCCACAGAAACGGGATATTCTGGAAGGGGGAACAAATATGGGAGAGAGAGAGAATTCAGTTTTTAAAATAGTATAGTTGAGGATAATCAAAAATTTACTGAACACCTACCTACTCTGTTCCACTTACTCTTCTGTACTGGACAAAGTATACAAACGTTTCTGCCCTAGGGAGTTTACATTGGAAAAGGGGTTGAATGGGCATACATTTAGCAAAATAAATATAGGATGTTACAAGATGAAAAGTGCTATAGAGAAAAAGAGAAAGGGAAGAAGCACAGTTACTTCAGGGGCACAGCAGTCTTTGGAAAAGGGAATGCTAGGTAGGTGGGAGTATGAGGGTAGAACAGGAAACCTGCTACAACCTTCCCCCACCCAAAAAAAAGAACAGGAAACCTACAATTTTAAATAGGGTGGTCAGAGAAAACCTTACTGAATTAGTGATGTTGGAGCAAAGATTTGAAGGAGGTGAGTGCATCATGTAGAATCTGAAGGAAGAATGTCCCAGTTAGAGGGATAGACTAGTGCTAAGGCCTAAAACTGGAGGTTTAGGAATAGCCAAGAAGCCCATGTGACTGGAGGCTAAGATAGAAAATGAGATCAGAGAGATCAGATAAGGGGATAAAGTGTGAAGAATGCACAGATCATTAGGTCTTTTTTGGTCATAGTATGAAGTTCAGTTTTTCCTCCTAAGTAAGATAGGAAACCATTAGAAGCTTTTGAAGAAAGTGACATGATCTGAATTAACCTATTAAGGTACTCACTGTGGCTGCTGTGTTGAGAACAGACTGGGGAGCAAGGGCAGAAGCAAGAAAATCCGAAGGCTTTTCAGTAATTCAGGCAAGAGCTAATGTCTTGGAGTAGAGGGGTGGTAAGAGAGTTGTTCAGGAGTGGTCAGATTTAGGATATATTTTGAAGATGGAGCAAAACAAGGTTTGATGACAAGTGTGGCATATGGGAGAATAGTCGATAATACCAAAATTTTTGTCATGGGTAGCTGAGATGGGAAAAACTGGAGGAAGTTATTTTAGGGGCAGATGGGATATCAAGAGTTTGGTTTTGGGCATGCTGTTTTAAATGACTATTAATAACCCAGTGGAAGTGTTTGGATAGTTCAGTGGAACCTCAAGTTAGGGGAGGAGAGGTCCATCCTGGAGACAAATTTGGGAGTCATTAGCATATGGATAATACTTAGAACCACAAGGATAGGTGAAATTAGCAAGTGAATGAGGTAAGTTAGAGCTAAGAGATCCTGGGACTAAGCAACATTAAGAGGTCTGGGGGAAACGGAGCCAGTGAAGACAGAAGGAACAGCAAGAACCAGAATTGTGGAGTCCTCAAGAAATGAAATAGAGAATGTGATTCAAAATGGGAGGAATAATCAACTGTGTCACATGCTGCTAATAAGTCTGGTAAGGTGATCTAAGGATCAGTCACTGAATTTGCAGCGTAAAAAGTTATTAAGATGACCTTGATGAGCAGTTTTGGTGGAGTGTGGGTGAGAGCTTAGCTGGAATGGGATTGTGGGAGATGAGAAAGTGGGATCATGTATTTTTAAGGACGATAAAGATGTGATCTAGCAGAAAAGAAACAGTTGATTCAGGAGAAAGCAAAGAATTGCTAGGGAGAGATCCCGGAGAAAGAAAGGGTTATGGGGATATCTGCAAATAACAGGAGTATAAGCAGTTTGTATGAGTACTGATGCTTGTACAGATTTAGTGGTAGAAACTTGGAAGTTTTTTCTGAATGCGTCTCTGTAAGATTTTCAGTGCAGTAGTGATCAAGATCTTCAGCTGAGAATAAATATGAAAGAGAAAGTGTTAGTTTTGGGAAAGAGGAGAAAGTTGAAATTGTTAAAAGAGTGAGAGAGTAAATGAATTTGCAAAATGTCTACTGAGTAGCATGAAGGGCCCATTTGTTGTTTTGGGTTATGTATTTAAGGTGAAACTAGATATTGTGGCTTTGTGTTTTTCTTCCTGAGTGCAGGCACAGTGTAGGTGAAGAGTTAGAGTTTACCAGTCTGGGGATTTGCAGAGTGTATATGTCAGAGCAGAGCAGTTGAGAATACAAGATGGTGGTGGTTTTTGGTTAATCATGGAATTTAAGATTGGTAAAGGACAAGAGGAAGGTGGTAGGATGAATAGATTATAGATCCCAGCTGAGTTAAAGAATTATCAGAATTGGGATATGCAAGGAAGTGAGCTGGGGAAAATTGGGTGTTGGTCATTGTGCCATACTTGAAACAGATTATGGAGGGATTGTAGTTCGGAGTAGTGACAAGGTTAGTATAAGCTATCACTATGAGAATGAGTAGCTGAGGTAGCATGGAGGACAAGAATATAGGAACAGAGTTCAAGGAAATGACAGGCCAGGGAATTGGAAGAATGATCTATGTGGATATGAAAGCACTAATAATTAAGATAGGAGTTATGTGGGGCACCTGGGTGGCTCAGTTGGTTAAGCAACTAAGGCAGGTCATGATCTCAGGGTCCTGGGATCGAGCCCCGCGTCAGGCTCCCTGCTCTGCGGGAAGCCTGCTTCTCCCTCTCCCACTGCCCCTGCTTGTGTTCCCTCTCTCGCTGTCTCTCTCTCTCTCTGTGTCAAAAAAAAAAAAAAAATAGTTATGTTAGAAGGATGTTGACCCATAAGTTATTCAAGAAATAACTAATCTACATCACTAACTCAGGTCTATAGATACCTATAAAGAAAAGAGATGGTCTGAGTGATACAATCATGACAGATTCAAAGCTGGAGTAGAGGGAGATGTCCTGTAACAACTAAAATAAAAGTTCTGTATTGATTATGTTGAAATAAAATAATTTCCAGTTAATGAAGCTTTCAAGTGAAGATTTACAAAGGTTATATGTTAGTGTCTCATGGATATAGTGTCTTAACAGCAAAATGGAAAAAAATTTAGAGGCCTAACATCACAGATTATGTAAAGATAATTGTTGATTTTTCATGGGCTGTTATAAAGAATAAATTTTTGGTGTTTTAACAGATGGGAAATAAGACCAAGATTGCAAAATGTCCTTTAAGAACAAAACAAACTGGATACATTCTAAAATCAACCCAAAATACTTGTATCAGGAGTGGAAAACTTTTGCAAAAGAAGAGAATGGGTTCAGAAACTTCACTGGCAAAAGGTGAAAAAAATAGTATGACTTTTTCACCCACTAAGGATTTATGCAAGCAGTATGTAGATAAAGACTGTCTTTATGTCCAGAAAGAGATTTCACCTGCAACCCCCAATATACAGAAGGCTAGAAACACCATAAATACATCTGTAGTAGCTAAACAGAAGCTTTGCAAAAAACACATTACAGCTGAAAATATGAAGAGCAGTTTGGTGTGTCTAACACAAGACCAACTACAACAGATTTTGATGACTGTGAACCAAGGAAATAAATCCATTTCCCTGATTGAAAGTGGAAAGGAAGAAACAAGTAAGGTTTTTCTGAAGTTCTAATTTTTAATATTAATTTTACCAGTATGTGTTTTAGAATTTTTCATTCTTTGGATTTTACATAACTGCCTCTGAAATTCTAATTTACCATGTAACGATCTTTTAAAATATTCTTTTAGAGAACATTCTTGTGCAGAATTACTTTCATAGCTATAATATGCCATATTTTAAGGTTTATGCTCAGAATATTACAGTCATGGTACCATAGCCTTAAGAAACCCAGTTCTGTGGACTCTAAAGATCTTAGTACAAAAAGATGTTGTACTTATTCCAAAATGTAGAAAGCTTTACTTACATTAAAAGTAATTATATAAAATGTTCTAAAAAATCACTATAGTATTTCTAGTGAAATTGAAGGAACCTTACTTTGAATATTTGACTTGAGTTGCTGAAAAGGATTATTTTCCTGGCCCCTGCATTGTACTTCCTGCCCCTTAATCCATGCTAAGGATTGGCAGCACTATCTTTTTAACCAATATAAAATACAGACTTGGGGGGCGCCTGGGTGGCTCAGTCATCAAGCATCTGCCTTTGGCTCAGGTCATGATCCCAGCGTCCTGGGATCAAGCCCCGCTTCGGGCTCCCTGCTCTGTGGGGGGTCTGCGTCTCCCTCTCCCACTCCCCCTGCTTCTATTCCCTCTCTCGCTGTCTCTCTCTCTCTGTGTCAAATAAATAAATAAAATCTTAAAAAAAAAAAAAAAGACTTGGAAGGAGTAGAAGAATGTTACATGTCTTCTGTTTCATTAGGGCATTGTATTGTTTTTAAAAGCCTTCTGATTTCTTTAGCTTTGAGCTAAGGAATTAACATGAGTAGAAATGTCATTAAAATTTTGTTAGGCTGTAATGAGATAAATAAAAATAACATTAACAGTCACCAGGAAGAGGCCCCACAACTGATTTGGGGACCAGGTAGCTTCTATACATTCCCAAAGTCTTCAAGTTGGAGTAATTTATCTTGTCTTGGTCTAGATTATTCTTTGTAAAATGAGGGAGCTGGGTCTTTAAAGCTAGAATTGTAGACTAGAGAACAAAAAATAAAAACTTACTACGTATAATGAGAGAGAATATCAATATCAACAAAGTTGAAGGCAGAATTTGATCATATAATGATCTGCATATTAAATACACTTTCTCCTCATTGCGAAAACTAGCACATTAAGAAGACTTAGAACAATTTCTGAGCCAAGCATAGGAGCCTGTATAAAACATTTGGAATAGATAGAACGGAGGCATAGAGACAGTGGTCCATAATAAGTTTTCATTGATTTCCCAGCTAAATGAGAAAAATAAGGACAAGGTAATGAGTTTTTCATAAACTTATTTGCATTCTTTAAATTGTGATTGGTGTTTTATATTATTTGTAAAAATATCGTTAGCAAGAGTAAATGGAGGTTTTTTTGTTGCTTGTTTGTTTTCATATTAGACACGAGAGGTTACATAGCAATGGCTGTATCTCTGGACCATTTAACCTCTGGGCTCAGTTTCCTTTTTTGACAAAAGGGAATCATAATACCCACTGAAGGACTGTTGTGAGAGGTGATTACTTTAGTAATGTGTAAGGCAGTGTTTTTAAAGTGTGTAGTAGTATGCCAAAATAAGGTATTGTAATACATGCAATTTTAGCGTTCATTTTAAAACATACATTTTTACCTCCTAGGTCAGGGCAGTCTACGTTTAAACAATATTTCCAATCAGCCAGAGGATGAGAAAATTATGGGAGTATTCCAGAAAACTGAGGCTCTTTCATCTGTCCTGGATGAAAATAAATCTGTTTTAAATAAAAATCAAGAGACATCTAAGCAGTATGAGCAGAAAATTGCCATGTACGTAACTCATATCTGTTATTGTGGAGTCATCTTGTGAAAATGGTTTTGCTTTTCCTTGACTTTCATGTGAAATATTTACTCTGAAGACTGAGAGCTATTTAAGTTTATTGCTTAATATTTATGGAGTAGCTTGTATAGAAACATACAAGATTTCTGTTATTTTTTGTGTTGTTTAGAGAGAATGTATGGAAACCAGCTGACATATTCAGTACTCTGGGGGAAAGAGAACGTGACAGAAGTTTGTTGGAAGCAAAAAAAGCCCAGTGGAAGAAAGAGCTTGGTAGGTTATTATTATACCTTTTATTATAGTTTTGTTGCCTTAAGGAATATATATTGAGGTTGAAATATATCTTTCAGTATGATACCATAAAAAATCTTGTTTTATAACATTTGCCATCTAGACTAGTTTGCTGCAATATGTAGAAAGCTTTGTGGTTTTATATTCCTTTAGGTTGTGTCTTTTTGTCTGGTAGTCTCTCTGTGTGTACAGGAAGACCAGAGGTGAGCAATAAGCATTAATGTCATCAGTATATTCTGGACCTCAAAGATTCCTGAACTTTTCTCATTTCCTGAGAATCCATTTTCATATTTTTCCATTATAGAAATCCTATGGATTTAAAGATGGTTTTATTTAAAAATAGAGTTCGTTCTTTAAAATAAAACATTCTGATCAAGAATCAATATGGTATCATTAAGTATATTCCATACAAAAACAAACTTACTGCTTTTTATCAGCCTATAGACCTTATAACAAAAATTTATCATTTCTGTTAAGGTCTTAAAATATTGATAGTAACTAAGAAACTCTTCTTGGACTAGACTTAATGGTCTAGGTGTCAGAATTTGGAAAATATGTGAAGTAGCAGTTGTACTTAAGAATAGCTGTACTAAAAGCATAAAGATGGGCTTCACCCTCCACTCAACTAGGAAGTCCTGTGAGGCAGTCATAACGCTGCTGAGACAGGTGATAGAAAAAAGAGATAAGCAGAAGAAATTGGGAATGAATTGATGTTGGAAGTAAAGGTAACAAAAGTTTGAAGAAATTAAATGTATGGTAGCAGTATCTGAAGGTTTGGAGATTTGATGTGTGTATATCATACTTTCAGTTTTAAATATTTTCTTTCAATTCAAATTTTGCTTATCAAGCTGTAATACCAAACTTCTGAAGTTGGAACTACTTGGAAATGATTGAAGTGTTTTATGCTGTATTATCTAAAAAGATTACTTTCTTTTATTTGATCCTGTTAAAAAAAAGCACATCTATCTTTGTTGAAGTCATGCTTTCCTTAATATTCTTGAAATTTAAGTTTATACAAATCTGAATTTTTAAGAACTGTTGATGATTTGGGACCTAGTTTTTATATCAGTTTGTTAGACAGAAGATTTTGTTTTTTTACTCTTCAGTTATGAATAATAGTGGCTGACATTTATTACATATTTACTTTGTGCTAGGCCCTGTACTGAAATAGATAGACACTATTCTTATTTTACAGAAGAAGAAACTGAGTTTTAGGAAGGTGAACAGCAATTTGCCCACAGTTACATAGATAGGAAGTGGTTGAACTTGTATTTGATTCTGAGTTTCTCTGAATCCAGAGGTTTATCTTTTCAGTCTCTTATTATAACTGAATGAACATTACAGGACAGTAGAACCTCATAATAATTTGCATAATATAAAATATGTTCTGAAAAATTTGATTTTTATTGCTAATTATAATAAACATTTTATATCCATTTGTGCCCTACTTAGGTTTGGTTCTGGTTAAATGTTTTATTCCTTATCTCTTAAAATTCTTCTCTGTCTTCTGAGTTAATCTCCCTAAAAAACAATTTTGATTAGATCTGTGTTGGATTCTGCACTCTTTAAGGTCATGATTTGTTTACATGATTTTTTTTTTACAGTTTTTGTACATTTTTTTAAAAAGGACATTATTTACAGATGAACAGGTTGCTTTAAAGAAGAAAGAAAAAGAAGCTTCTGAAAAACGGAACAATCCGTGGAAAAAATTTGAAAGTGATAAAATAGTATGGGAAAAATTTCAAATTCTTGACCAATCTAAGGTAAGAGTATCAAAATGAAGCATTTATGGAATATAAGACATCTTTTTTTTTTTTTTAAGATTTTATTTATTCATTCAAGACCCAGAGATAGAGCATGAGCAGGGGGAGAAGCAGAGGGAGAGGGAGAAGCAGGCTCCCTACTGAGCCAGGAGCCAGACGTGGGGTTCGATCCCAGGACCCTGGGATCATGACCTGAGCCGAAGGCAGATGCCCAACCATGTGAGCCACCCATGCACCCCTGGAATATAAGATATCTTAATTTTACTTTTTAAAATGCTAAGCCATGTTCATATCATAAAGCTTTTTAAAAATTATTTTTCATATGTTACTGTAAAACAATGTTATTTTGAATTTAATTATGACCTCATCTGGTCTCTGTTTGGCATTCTGTAAATTATCTTACTATGTACATGAGTGTAGAGGCCTGAGGCACCTCGTTTAGGCTCTTGTAAAAGAGCTCTGCAATTTTTTAGATGACCACGAAACTCTACCACTGACCATGTGGTATCTGCCACAAGGTTATATCGAACATAAGTGATACTTGCAAGCATAAGTACACACCAGGTGTCCCCTAGGTAGCGTTTTAGCGACCTTTAAATTTTGCCTGTGTTTAATATTATCCAGAGAAAAAGTACCTGTGTTTTCTCTTTGTTTTTAGACTTGTGCTAGCTCTTCCAGCATTCTCTCACAGTCTCCTATTCAGATAACAGTGGTCCAGGCTGATGGGCACCCACTACCTAGAGCTAGTCAGATTTTAGAGGTAAGTCGTAAGTGTCATTACTTTGAATATGTAAGCCCTTTAGTACTTGATCTTTATATTACCTATTTTCCTTGAAAGAGTGGACTTAACTACCGGTTAATTTTTAATGAGTGAACTATGCTCAAGTTTAAAAAAGTTAGGAACTGTTTCTTTTTTATATATATAGTAATTATTCCTTCTTAGTGAACATTTACATTTTAACAGATGTACTCTGAAAATAATGTAGTAACCTAAAGGGACGATTCTGATGGGAGACATTTTCAGCACTGATAGATTTCTTATAGAAATCTCCAAGTTAGATTATTTGCATGGCTTTCATGGCTGTCTGTTCTGCTCTGTACAGGGCTGACTTGCCTATATGAAAGAGTTTTATAGTTGTTAATAATTTTACATTAACAAAAGGAATGAAATCTGAATTGTACTTTTCCACATTCCCGAAAGCACTTTGACTATTGAAAGGCAGTAAATTAGCCTTGATAGAAGACATTTTGCAAAAATCTATAGTTCTGGGGCGCCTGGGTGGCTGAGATGGTTAAGCGTCTGCCTTCGGCTCAGGTCATGATCCTGGAGTCCTGGGATCGAGTCCCGCGTCAGGCTCCCTGCTCCTTGGGAGCCTGCTTCTCCCTCTGCCTCTCTCTCTCTCTCTCTCTGTCTCTCATGAATAAATAAATAAAAATCTTTAAAAAAAAAAAATCTATAGTTCTGGATGATAATTTTTTTAAGTGGGGGAGGGGCAGACGGGGAGAGAGCATCTTCAGCAGGCTTCCTGCCCAGTGTGGAGCCTGATGCAGGGCTTGATCTCACCACCCTGAGATCATGACCCAAGCCAAAATTAAGAGTCGGACACTTAACTGACTGAGCCATCCAGGCACCCCTGGATGGTAATTTTAAGTATAAAGTTTAAAAATTGATGCATGCAGATACTACTAAAAACTACAACTAAAACTATTCATGAAATTGGTAGGAATCAGTTGTTAGCTTATTTACATTTCAACATTAGGATTGAAGAATCTTTAATACTAAAAATATTAAAGTATTTCCAGTTAGCAAAAAAATTTAGGTTGAAATGTTAGTATATCATTTATATTGCTTAATTTGCGCCATCTGTGAGTAATTCATACTATGATTGTTAATGCAAATAGCCACTTGGGGTGACTTTTAGGTGTTTTTACATTTTGTATATATTTTTAAATGCTAGCATATATCTCTTTTTATAATCCAGAAAAAACCAATAAAATTATATTTCGCAGTAGAGATAGGAGTTGGGGATGGGAGAAGGACTATAAAGTAAAACACACACTAAATGTAAGGTTGGACAACCAATGGTTAAAGAGTATGATTATCTACTCATCCTCCTAGTATTTAAATGCACTTTTTATGCATTTATGTATGCATGTGGTAAGATATTGGAGAGATGCTATTGAGGGGAAGTGAATTTAACCATATAACTAAAAAACCCCCCTTCTTAAATGTTTAAAAACAGTTGGTTTCAGAAATTCAAGCCATAGCCAGAACTATTTATATTATTTGAATATCAAGTTAACCTTTTCATGTAATTAAGAGGAGCAGAAATTTGGTTGGAGGCAGAGTCACCAAGGCCAATTTTGTTAAAACACAAGGTAATGCATATAAAGTGCTTAGAACAGTGACTGACAAATAGCAAGTGTTGAATGAAGGTTTACTCTATTTGTAACTTACAAAGCAGATCCATGTGGGGCTATGAGACCGTTTAGGGTCAGTCGTCTCACCAGCTTCCCTTACTCTCTTTCCTTGATTCTCAGTCTTACCCTCCTCCCCAGTGGAATGGCCCTGTATTCTCATCCCTGTATTGTTCAGCCCAAACATTATTTTTTACTATGTAATTTTGAACTACTTTTGTGTTTAAGTTTCTTATTGCTACCACCATACCATAGTTCTGCATTTGCCCCATAAAAAATTCTATTTTTATTCCTTTTTAATCGTTTTTTTTTAATTGTGGCAAAATACGCATAACAGAATTTACCATTTTAATAATTTTTAAATGTGCAGTATAGAGGGATTAAGTACATTCACATTGTCAGGCAGCCATCACCACTATCCACCTCCAGAATTTTCTCATCTTTGCAAACTGAAACTATATCCATTAAACACTCCTCATTTTTCCCTCCCCCTAACTGCTGGCAACCATTCTAATTTGTCCATGAATTTGACTATTGTAGATACCTTTAAGTAGAATCATGTAATATTTGCCCTTTTGTGTCTGACAAAGTTCACTTATAATGTTTTCAGGGTTCATCCGTGTTGTAGCATGTATCAGAATCTCATTCCTGGGCGCCTGGGTGGCTCAGTTGGTTAAGCGACTGCCTTCGGCTCAGGTCATGATCCCGGAGTCCTGGGATCGGTCCCGCATCAGGCTCCCGGCTCAGCGGGGAGCCTGCTTCTCCCTCTGACCTTCTCCCCTCTCATGCTGTTTCTCTCTCTCTCTCTCTCTCTCAAATAAATAAATAAAATCTTAAAAAAAAAAAGTCTCATTCCTTTTCAAAGCTAAATAATACTTCATTATATTTATAACAACTACATTTTGTTTATCCATCCAAATGTTGATGGACATTTGAGTTGTTACCCCCTTTTGGCTATTGTGGAATAATGCTGCTATGAACATTTGTGTACAAATAATCTCTTTGAGGCTTTGTTCTCAATACTTTGGGTATATACTCATAAGTGGAATTGTTGGATCCTGTGGTATTTTATATTTAATTTTTTTGTTAAATTTTTACCAATTTTCTTTTCTTTTTAAGAAGAGAGTGTTTGGGGGCGCCTGGGTGGCTCAGTCGGTTAAGCGGCTGCCTTCGGCTCAGGTCATGATCCCAGGGTCCTGGGATCGAGCTCTGCATCCAGCTCCCTGCTCAGCGGGAAGCCTGCTTCTCCCTCTCACACTCCCCCTGCTTGTGTTCCCTCTCTTGCTGTGTCTCTTGCTGTCAAATAAATAAAATCTTTAAAAAAAATAAAAAAGAATAGAGTGTTTGTTTTTGAGAGAGACAGACACACCCAAGCTGGTGGGGTATGAGGGGCAGTGTGGAGAGTGGAGGAGCAGGGGGAGAGGGAGAGAGAATCTTAAGCAGGTTCCACACCCATTGTAGAGCCCCATGCAGGGCTTGATCTCATGACCCTGAGATCATGACCTGAGCCTAAATCAAGAGTTGGATGCTTAACTGACTGAGCCACCCCGGCACCCCAGATTTTTACCAATTTTCATTTGGCAATTTTATGTTTAACTACTATACTGTTTTCCATAGTTGCTACACTCTTGTACATTTCTATCAGCAGTGAACAGGGTTCTGATTTCTCCACATTCTCACCAACTTTTTTTTTTTAAATAATAGCTGACTTCTAATAGGTGTAAAGTAGTAGCTCCTTGTAGTGTTGATTTACATTTCCTTTTTTTTTTTTTTTTAAAGATTTTATTTATTTATTTGACAGAGAGACAGTGAGAGAGGGATCACAAGCAGGGGGAGTGGGAAAGGGAGAAGCAGGCTTCCCGCCAAGCAGGGAGCCTGATGCGGGGCTCGATCCCAGGACCCTGAGATCATGACCTGAGCCGAAGGCGGTTGCTTAACCAACTGAGCCACCCAGGCACCCCTACATTTCCTTTAATGATTGGTAATGTTGAACATTTTTTCATGGCTTATTGGCTATCTCTGTATCTTTGGAGAAATGTTTAAGTTTTTTTGCCCATTTTTGAGTTGGGTTGTTTTTTTTTTTATTGTTGAGTTGTAGGCATTCTTTATAAATTCTGCATACCTGATCAGATATATTGTTTGCAGATATTTTGTACCATCTTCATGTTACCTTTTCACTTGCTTGATTGAGCCCTTTGATGCACAAAAGTTTTTAATTTTGATGAAGTCCATTTTATCTGTTTTTTTTCCTTTGTTGCCTGTGCTTTTGGTGTCCTAAGAAATCATTGCCAAATCTGATAGGGAGCTTTTCTCCTATGTTTTCTTCTAAGAGTTTTATAGTTTCAGCTCTTAGTTTAGGTCTTTGATCGATTTGGAGTTAATTTTTGTATGTAATATAAGATATGGGTCCAGTTTTATTCTTTTCCACATTTTGCATTGATACCCAGTTTTCTCAGCACCATTTGTTTGAAAAGATTGTTCTTTCCTAATTGAATAGTCTTGGCACACTTGTCAAAAATCATTTGACTGTTTATGTGAGTGTTTAATTCTGGGCCCTCCATTCTAGTCCATTGTTCTGTATG